AGATTCAGAAGAAGCTAATTATGACTCAGCAGGTTACAAAATATTCAGGGAGATTATAACTGCTGAGCCGACTCCCCGACAGACCTATAGGACATGAACCAAGGTAGTCTCTGTCCAGAATGACGAATATACTGCCTGGAAGATAGTCTCTACATCTTTATTGTAGAATCAGATTCTATAAAGCAATAAAAAACCAATTTGTTTAGAATTTAGAAAGGATAATATTAATAATAGATTTTTAAAACTCTAAACTATCTTTATGAAACAGAAATGGATGACAGGTAAATAGCTTTCAAAGATCTGTTTAATTAATATCATTGCTAGATTTAGCCCTGTCGACCATACGTTCTCCTTTACAGAATTATACAGTTATAATTGATGTTCATAATAATGACCCTGAGATGCTATAGGGTCCTTTCTAAATCATTAAAGAAAGATCAAATTATATTCTATAACTATTTGAAATCAAGTTGATGTATATATACAAATTCTTTAAAACATAGTTAATGGATATAGTCTATATAAAGTAACTCATTTTTAAATAATTAAGAATACTCAGTATCACTATGTAAGTGTAATGAACTGAATCTTATTGCCTAGTAGAGCATAATATGCTAAATGTAACTTTAGTATATTTTTCTGAAATAAAAACAACATTACTGGGTTTTTATCCATAAAAGAGAATTTGTAACCTAACACTGAATATTAAAAAAAAAAAAATCGGTGACGAGAGAATACCTTTTGATGTTTATAGAAGTTTCTAATAAATGGACTATGTGATGATGACCAAATAGTCAAAAGATTTCGGCTTTTTGCCTACTCTCCCCACAATTCAGTCCTCCTAAAGCTAAGACCACTGAACCACAAACTTGGGAATAGCCTTGAGAACTCGTAAACCATTTAACCGTTAAAGCTTGTAGGAGTTCCACTGTACTCGGGTAGCTGTAGACCAAAGATAAGGATGTTTGTCACGGTACTTGACTTTGTCATATCAGAGATAGGACTTATGGCTCTATAATGATTATGGTCCCCAAATTTCTCATAATGGTAATTTCTTTCTGATAATGAAAATAAGCCGTGCTCTCGTACATTGCTAGTGGTAGTGTGAAATTGTACAGCCACTTTGGAGAACCAGTTTGGAAATTTCATGTAAAGTTACGCACACACTTCACATATAATTCAGTGATCCCGCTCCTAGGTATTTACCTGAGAGGAAAGAAAACGCAGACCCACGCAAACACCTGTACATGCATGTTTATAGTAATTTTGTTTATGATTTGCTAGAAAAGTGAAAGCAATCCAAATACCCACCAACTGGCAAATGGATAAACATGTTGAAGTAACTTCATACAATGAAATATGATATTCATCAGTGAGAAGGAATGAACTCCTGATAATAGACAACGGGGTGAATCTCAGAAGCCTTTTATTAACTGAAAGGAGCAAATACGATGTGCTCCATACTGTCTTTTTCCATCTATATGGCATTGTGGAAAACCACGTAAAGTCAGAAATCAGAACAGCGCTTGCAGGGCGAGGGGATGTGAGGAGGAGGTGAATCATAAAGGGGCCAGAAGGGAACGTTGCAGGGCTGCAGATGGGCTGTCAGTCCACTGTGGTGGTGGTGACCTCCCTGTGCCAACACTCACCAGGTCACACACCTGAAGCGGATGATTCTTCCTTCATGTAAACTCTACTAATAAACCTTACTTTAAAAAAAAAATGGAAGATACGCTCAGCGAAGAAATTCAGTGGAAAAGTAAAGACGTAAAGACCAATATGAAGGATATGAAGGAGCACCTGGCTGGTTCAGTAGAGCATGCAACTCTTGATCTTGAGGTCCTGAGTTCGAGCTCTACCTCGGGCATAGAGATTATTAAAAATACATGTATATATGTGAGATTCATCTTTAGTCTCCAGCGTGGTATTAACTGCAGGCTTAACATTTTGGTGCATCTTACTGGATGTTCTTCCTATGCATATACTATAAGCTCATGTGACTGCTTTTTTTAAGTTAGCTTTATAATAATTTTTCCATATCCTCCCTTCTTGGCATCACTTTTAATGGCCATTTACCCTTTCCTTACCATTTGATTCTTTAACGGTTTTGGGGGTTTTATTTTAAACAATATTGATGAACATCTTGTTCTTCACTCTTAAATTTCTCTCACGCCTGGAATCTAATTTTATACCAGTAAAAAGGCAGCTAGACAGTGATACTAGGTACTAATCATTCCTAGAGTGGAAAAAACTTTGAAATTTGTTGAAGTTGAATTCAATTGTTCTTATTCAGTATAGTTCTCTTTTCTGATGTTTTTGTGTCCATTTTATTTCATAACATTTTTGTCTGACTAATGTGGAAACTGAAGAGCAGAAACTATCATTTTTGCTACATAGCATTTATGACATTTCCTTTATGCAGTTAATCTTTTTTTGAATTGTCTTTTTTTTTTTCTTAGTACAATTCATGCCTAGCAACTTTCTAGACGTGCTTGTTCAGTTGTGACTTCCATATATGGCTGATTAAATTCCTTCTCGTAGTGCAACACCCCAAAATACCTCATGGCCCAACATTCAAATGCCTTCCTTGGTTCCAGTCTCAAATGTCTTTCATCCAATTTCTTATGACACCTCCCAATGTCCAGTGTACGCGTCTATGTGTCCACCCACAGCTCTGCTGTTGTCGGAGAATTCCTACATCGTCATTCCCAGTTTGTTGGTGCGTGATTTTGAATGATGTTGCAGCGGGTGTAGTACTCCTCGTGTAAGACTGTTGCTCCCAGGAAGACTTGCCGACACTTGCTTGGGGTGTTGATGGTTTGCATGTCACCGTTCACCTTCACTTGCATATGACCCAGCAGCGTGCTGAGCAGCGTGCTGAGCGAGACACTTGACGGAGCGGACAGGCGGGCTGTGGTCACGGGCAAAGGTGACTGACTCCAGATGTCTTCTGTGACTCCGAGGCAACCATTTGGTGTACATCTTGCATCTGTCGTGTCCACAGTACCCAGCTCCTGAGGTCATTGCTGTTAACCCTGTGAGAGGAGTTTGGGTGTGTGCCTTTCAGGAGAGGGAAATGACACAGGAGAGGCAGAAAGAGAGCAGCGAAACACTGTCACCAAAACCGTAGAAGAGAAATTAGAGGCTAGAGCGCAGGTGAGGCAAAGGGCGTTGGACGGACCTCAGGAGGAGCCAGTGAACAGCTGAGAACAGTAGCCGTGGATGCTAAATGAATTCGAGTTATGCCCAGGAGCGTGGTGTCAGGGGTGTGGTGCAAGCCCAGCAGAAGTTACCCAGCTAGCGGATGTGTCTGGAAGAAACTACGTAATTGATTTGGGCAGTGCAGATGATGATTTCCCATGCAAAAGCCTAGTTTTTATTTCCACTTTGAGTAATTGCATGTTTGTTTTCTTGATTCTGAAAATGCAGAACCCAGGACACCAAGCTCACAGATACAGAGACTGGGTGGGTGGTTGCCAGAGCCGGGCGGGCTGGAGGTTGGACAGATGGGGAAGAGGTATTAAAAAGAATTTAAAAAGAGTGCCCATCCATTTCAACATGCCTCAGCCAACATCCTGCATTTCTTCTTAAAAATGGGGCGAGAAGGTTTGCTTTGCTTTGCAAAAGAGAATTATGTAAGTAAGACAGAAACGAAAAAGTCATGCCAAGATTTTAGTTTTAAAAATCATGAAAGCCTCTGGGGGTGTACCTGGGTGGCTGCGTCGTTTGAGCTTCTGACTCTTGGTTTGGGCTCAAGTCATGATCTCGGGGTCGTGGGACGGAGCCCCACGGGAGCTCTGCGCTCAGCAGGGAGTCTGCTCCTCTGCCTCTCCTCTGCCTCTCCCCTGATCACGTACTCTCTCTAAATAAATAAATATTAAAATAAAATAAATAAAAACGAGAGTCTCAAGACTTTTAAGCCCCCAAATAAATGATTAACCGTAGTACTTTTTTATTACTCAGAATTGCAAATAAATTTAGTTTGCATAGCCCTTACAGTGATAAACCTTCACATCAGAAATAAAGGACTGTGATATTGAATATTACAAAATATTGAATATTACAAAATATACAAAATATTGAAAAATCTTGAATTTAAAAATTAGGCCTGCAGTCATCACATTTCAAACTTGTAACCGTGTTTCCCACTGTTGTAGAAGGTGTGTTTAAGGTTCCATGGTCAAATTTTAAAATAGCTCTCCATGATATGCTTCACTTGATTAATTTTTAGCATCCTCTTTTTCTTCCTTGATGTATGTATCTACATATTCAGTGAGAACACAGGTTCTATTCTCAAATGATTGACTATTCATTTCACCTCCTGTTACCCTCAGCAACACAAACTTAAACCAAAGCCCAGGTTGTGACTCTGTTGAATTATGCCACGGCCTCCTCACCCACATTACGGTCTGAATTCCGTGGTCAGGAAAATTTGCAGCAAGATACTTGCATAAACCAGCTCAACCAGCAAATCGCGAGACTGGGAGACACCGCAGAAATCAGCAAACCGAGTCCTCCGGTTGATAGTCGAAGAAACGGGAACGGGGATGGGTGCCGGCCTCACTCGGGGTCAGCTAGCCAGACAGTGACCCTTGGCTCCGTAGCCGCCGCCTCCGTGGGCCGCACTCCCCAGCCCCGGTCATCGGAGAGCCGGGACACTGGGCGCCCTGTCCCCAGTTGTCGCCTCGGTCTCTCCGAAGACGTGCGCGGAAGAATGCAATTCCCACTGGTTCTTTCATCATCCTTTCTGGCTCCAACTTCACTCAGTTTGTCATAAGAACTAACAAATCGATGAGCCACATAAGTCAGTTCCCTTTCAAGAACCTAGGATAAGCTCAGTCGTCCTGTAACACAGAAGCGACGTGCTGTCTCGGCGTTCAGAGGAACTCCACTTTGCCTTTAGCAGGCCAGTCTCAGGAATAGAAACACGGAAGAAACACGATTACGCAGAGCCGCACCGTTATTCATCTAAAATATTCTTTGCTTGTTTTTCTTACCAGATATCTGTATGCCCTGGGACAGAAGGTTTGGAAAAGATGGAAAAAACGGTACTTCGTTCTCGTTCAGGTCAGTAAATTTTTTTCCTGTTACAGAATCCATCCAACACAGCAGTTCTCAGACTTTTGTCTCGTGGGTTAGATCTACGGATTGATATTCACTGTGTTAGAAACTAAAACTTAAGACCTTTAAATATTTCGTTTTAAAATAAAAGTACTAGGTTTTTTACATGCTAACGCAAGTGGCATTTTTGTGTAAAACAACTGTTTATAACTGTTTTCTGAACCAAACAATTTAGGGAAATGAGCGGCATTATTTTGCACTTTTTCACATCTCTTTAACGTCTAGCTTAACAGAATGCAGCTGTATTTTCATATCAACTTCTGCATTCAATCTGTTGCAATATCAGATGAAATTTAGCCTCTGGAAAAATCCACTGTACACACATGAGAGAATAACTGTGAAAAAGGCAGATGATGCCTGAATATTATTATAAAAATAGTTTTGACCCTGCAGATTCCCTGAAACGATCTTAAAGTTCTCTAGGATGACAGGACCATACCTTGTGAAAAGCTGCAACATTCTGGTATTTTATAGATAAAGCATAATACCTAGAAGCTCCCGTGTTTTGTAGATAAGCAATTTTTACGACCTATGCTCACAATTACATCTTTAAATTACCTGGACTGGTGGATTTGATTGCAGTAGGGTTCTGCATATAGACCGATTACTGGGATAGACATTCTGGTGGACTCTGTTTGGTTCGTTGTTTTTAATCATGGGGGGACGGTTGCTCATAGAATATACTCATCAAGTTAAACGTGCATTGAAGAGTGACCTTCTGAGTAGTAGTCGTTCATTCAAGGATGAGTCCAAGCCATTTTATTCCCAATGGGTATATATGAAAAGAAAATCATCCTTGGTGCTCTCAACATAAAACAGTCTCTAAAATCTTATCAGTTCCTACGCATGCGTTGAGCAGACTTACGTGGCATCAGAATGACTTGGTGAACGACGAGGCGGGAAACCTGTCAGCAGGGCTCTCTGTCCATTGTTGGATGTGCCACCATCGCATGGTAACTTCATGAAAAGTGTGAAAATTCGGTCAAAAGCTTTACCTGCATAGCACACAGCCAGCCTGTCTGGTTAAAATGTAGCTTCAGGGATCCCTGGGTGGCGCAGCGGTTTGGCGCCTGCCTTTGGCCCAGGGCGGGATCCTGGAGACCCGGGATCGAATCCCACGTCGGGCTCCCGGTGCATGGAGCCTGCTTCTCCCTCTGCCTGTGTCTCTGCCTCTCTCTCTCTCTCTCTCTGTGACTGTCATAAAATAAAAATCAAAAAAAAAATAAAATGTAGCTTCATGTGATGAAAGCCAGTATTTGGTCAGGTAATTTAGCCAAAGATACACCTACATGCTCACACCCACATCGGCAATCTTGATACAAAGCCCAGGCATTTGCTTTGAGTGCGGGTCTCCTATTTGAAGTTCTGGGTCGTGGTCTGTCCTCCAGAAACCAAACCCACAAGACCTCTCCTTTAGTTTCCAGGTTTAATTTTTTTACATTGGCACAGGAACTTAAATGCATTCATTTACTAAGCAGTTTTAACGCAGATCTTTCTGGGCATTTGATTTTATTCCTATTTATGTCTCCTCTATATCCTACAGATGTCTCACTCATCTATAACGTCACAACTTTGTATTAGCGACTAGTCTTTATCAGATCTTTTTAAAGCACTCAAGTGATTTTTCACAGAAATAGTAGCTTTTTCATAGTCACACTTTGTGCATTACTCTGCAGATTTTTTCTTGATTCCATATTTTTAATAGCTGATGTTATTGGCACAAAACTGACTAGCTGACTCTTCACAAGCAGGGAGTCTTACATATTAGTCATTACATTTTTTTTATTTTTAGGTTTTTTTTTTTTATACAGACTTTTATTTTTTTTAAGTATTTTATTTATTCCTGAGAGAAAGAGAGAGAGAGAGAGGCAGAGACACAGGCAGAGGAAAAAGCAGGCTCCATGCCGGGAGCCCAACGCAGGACTCGATCCGGGGTCTCCAGGATCAGGCCCTGGGCTGAAGGCGGCGCTAAACCGCTGAGCCACCAGGGCTGCCTCAGACTCTTATTTTTTTAGAGCAGTTTTAGGTTCACAGCAAAATTGAGAGGAAGGTACAGACATTTTTCCATATGCCCCCTGCCCCCACACATGCCACAGTCTCCCCATCATCCATGTCACTTGGTACGTGAGCCGACATTGAACGTGATAGTCATCCAGCAAGTGCTGTTTATGTTAAGGTTCACTCTTGGTGCTGTGTGTTGTGTGTGCGCCAACAAATGTTTGATGGCGTATGTCCATCGTTGAGGTGTCCTACAGAGTATTTTCACTGCCCTAAAGATCCTGTTTCCTGCCTATTCTCCCTCATGGCAAAAACCTCATGGTGGTTTTTACCATCTGCGTAGTTTCACCTTTTCCAGGGTCATAATCATACAGCACGTAGCCTTTTCAGACTGGTTTCTTTCACTTAATAATACGCTTGTAAGTTTTCTCTGTCTTTTCATAGCTCGATAGCTCATTTCTTCTTAGCCCCGAATAATATTCCATTGTCTGGGTGAATCACGGTCTGTTCGTTCATTCACCCATGGAAGGACATCTTGGCTGCTTCTGAGTTTTGGCAATTATGTATAAAGTCGCTATAATCACTCCTGGGCAAGTTTTTATGGAGACATAAGTCTTCAGCTCCTTTGGGTAAATACCAGAGTGCAGTTGCTGGATCGTGTTCATTGTGTTTTAAAGAACGAATCGGAGAGTGTTCGTCAGTCTAGAGACCTGGTTAAATGACAGGTTAAAAGAGTTCAACTATGTTCATTGTGTATATGAAAATGGACTCGGTTAGAGCTGTCTGGAGAGACCAGGTGATCACCTCAAGCTTTTGGCCAGGCGAGGTTTGAGGTAATCCTCTGCTCCTTGCCTTGTTTTCTAGCGTGTGATTACAGGAATCAATAGTTACAGGACAAACTCGTATATGTTGATGATCACTCTATAAAAGACTTTAGGAATGAAAGAATACTTTGAGATCATTAATTGAGATATCTTTGAGGAACATTAACCGTGTCTCTGGGAAGCTAGAGCGTTCTCTTGGTAACAAAAGTAAGTTTGACATTTTAATTTTTTTTAAGGTTTTTATTTAGTTGAGAGAGAGAGAGAGCATGTAGGAGCTGGGGGTGGGGCAGAGGAAGAGAATCTCAGGCGGACTCTCCGCTGAGCATGGACTGCAACTCAAGGCTCCGTCACAGGACCCTGAGACCATGACCTGAGCTGAAACCAGGAGTCAGATGCTTACCTGACTGCACCATCCGGGCGCCCTAAGTGTAACACTTTAAAGGGCGCATTTTTAATTTAAACCCATAGGTAAAATTTGAAGGTGAGCTCATATGTTCCATAATTGAAATGCAGAAAAAGTCACCGCCAGACTATAATGAATTCAGATTTACTCTACCTGAGATACCATCTTGCCATCTAAAGTCACATTTAAGCATTATAACTTTGCACAAATATACGTAATACACGTGCACTCGTACAGAGAATTCCACGGCCAGACCTAGTGAGGTAAACATGCCGGTACTCTGGCAACTTTTTGAAGTCTTAAATACAATTAGATCTTCCTTTCAATTCCAAATGTAATGGGAAGACAAATTGAATGCACACACTTCAGAATCAAGATGGATGTGTATGGAGATTCAGTGCGAGTGACCCGTTGGGAGGAACTGGGTTTTTTTTATTAGTATTTTTAAAGAGCACTCTCATTCTGTTGGCACGCGGCTTGTAGGTTCATACCTGCGGGCTGCATTATTGAAAGGTGAAGGAGTCATTTTTCTAGGGAGGCCACTGTCCCCCTGCTGTGTCTGCTGCTGCCGTCGGCAGAATGGTGCTCTGGCGATAATGTGAATCTCATCACCACTTGTGAGTGGGTATTATATGAGTGATACAGCTGGAGATGTAGCCATCAGCTCAAGAATTTGCACTCATAAAAATTGATTGAGAGTCTGGTTTGGCCAGCTGCAAAGTCATTGTTCGAAGTGAACACTCGAATAGCTGCCGAGGTGAAAAGACCTTCATATAAACATTTAAAGCAGAGTCCAGAATGGGGAAATATTGATTAACGTGGGGTGCTTATTTAGCTTCTAAGTACGATCGTAAATAAGATTAGTTTGGTCCCCATTCAGATTCCGAAGTCAGTGTAGTTACTGTATTGAATAGATTTTTACATTCTGTAAGAGGCTGCCTTTTTTTTTTTTTTAATGAAGATGGTAAATGTTAGTTTAAGCCAAATTGAAAGAACAATTGATTTTGAAGAATATATGTTGGAAATCTTATCAAAATTAAACCCCAGTGTTTCTTATTCATTTTTCTTGTGCTTATTCAGCGTTTTAGTATTAGATTTGGAGGATATCATGGTTGTAGAGTGCTTATAGCACTAATATATTTTTGTTTGTTATAGTGCAACCATTTAATAGCTTTGAAATTCTCTGATTTAATCAAACTGGATTATTTCGTGATTCTATAGCTTCTAGTGCCTATTCAAATGCTTCCACATATTGCATATTCTACAATTAAGTTAGATATTTCTGAGGCAATTCCCTGCTACAGTTATTGCTGTATCTTTTCTAATATTTACTAAGCAGTAGTAGCAGCCATTTGCGTGAAGCACTTTTAGCACATTATCTTATTTAATCCTCAGAATAAGGTATGTTTGAGGGATAGGTAATAAATACGATCCCTGTTGTACAGACGCGGTCGACGTACAAAGGGATTATTATCGGTATGTGGTAGAGTCAAGCATTCAAATCCAAATTCAATCTGCAAAGTAAGCTTCTATTTTCTCTGTCGTAACGCCGTGACTAAATCGAGGCACACAAACACAGTTGATCTGAAGACAAACAGATACAGGGATGTAGGAATGATCACCGTGGATCATTGATTTCAGGAGGCACCAAAGAGTCTGACGACAAATGGCCAGTGAGAGCACAGAGCGTCTCACGCGCACGAGGGCCACTTACTGGGTGA